AATAGGACACCGGAAACAAAGCTCCCCACAGGAGTTTCCGCACCGGAAGTAGCATATGCTAACGTGCACATAGTCAATTGACAGAGCAAAGTAACTGGTTAAAAAAAAGAATAAAAACATGAAAAAGGGTACAGTTTACAAAAACTCACTGATAGAAAAATCCTCATTCATATCTCTAGGGTGCAGACTCTCAAAACGGAATATCCAAAATGCTTCTTTTTTTTTCCAGTTAAAATTAATATTACCACCTCTTTGGTTTAGTTTAACGGCTTCAATGCCTAGAAAGAATAACAGAGAATTTGGATGTTTATCATTGAAGTGTCTTGCAACATGACTGGTTATCCTTCCATTCCTCTTGATCGAACTTCTGTGTTCATTAATTCAATCTTTCAGAGGGCGGGATGTTCCACTTTGGTTTTTGTGAACTGTACCCTTTTTTAATGTTTTTATTCTTTTTTTAACAGTTTTTAACAGTTACTCTGCTCTGCCAATTATTCTCACATGAATGTGCTCCCATGCTATGATGTCATCTTGTTTTTTAATCTAACTGCTGCACTTTTTAATTAAATGCTTTCATTTGTAATAATTTTAGGTTTTTTGTATATTTGTAGTATTCTTCTTAAGTATTTCATGCATGTATTATTGTAAGACCAGTCCCCCCACCCACCCATCCATCTCATCATTAATGATCTAGTCCAGTTTTTACTTGGGCGTGACTTAACCAATTAACCAATACCAACCTGTCATATGTCATCTGGTTTATCTATGAAGACGTGATTGGTAAATTTGAAAATTTTTTCTGTTTCCTGTTTTTTCTTTCTTCTCTGTCATCCTCAAAGATAGAGAATTATATTTTGTTTGCCTTTCATGTTTGGTTAGAAAAGAGTAGTGAACATTAGAAACTTTTGTTGTTGTGGCATTGCTGGCTTCAGAAGCAAAAAAACTGCTGGTGAACATCATCAGTTATTCCACCTCATGTAGCAGATAGTGCCTGGTGATTACATCAAATGTTTAAGAACAGAAGAAGAATTTCAAGATACCATAATTGTATTTATATATGACATTAATACGGACAACAGTAATACCACATATTAGGTGTTTTGTGAGGCATTAAACAGTTACTATGAAACAACTATTGGATGAAAAAATAGAAAAGTAAGAAAATCCTAAAGACTTTTTCAAAAATACAGGGTCTTTTTATGAAGTTATAACTTTTTATTACAATTAATAAACATTAAAATCCAAATTATTTTTGTGTTATTACTGAATGAACAACCTAATAAATTAAAACATTGCTTTTTTAATCAAAGTTCATTAGTCCAAAATAAATTGAAATACAAAGAAACAAAGAAACAAAAAGTGATGTTGATGAGAATGAAGTTAACATGACAAAGTTCAAATACCAAAGCATAATATTGTGTGTGTGTGTGTTATGTTCTTTATCATGTTTGGACAATCCACATACTAAAACATTCAGAGAAAATGTTCATTTTATTTCAAATGAAATTATTCAGTTGGCAACAATAAAATGTGTTTTATATACTATAAAATGTAATTTTAACTCAACTGACACCCACTTAACTCATAACACAATTATGAGCTTCAGATATTTCATATTGTGATTTAATCAAATCTAAAATAACCAAAACATGTAGAAATTCCATCTGTGAATACATAGATGAAATTGTGTTCTGTTTCTCCTTCATGAAAAATGTTCTCCTGTGCAGAAATCCTTTGTGGATTACACAGTAATTCAAAATTAACATTAACATATTAATTTTTATTTCTCATAACATTCTGAAAATGTCCTGTGGGCTTTCCTGTGTGATTGTTTATTTCAATAAACTTCTAAATACTAGTCTGATTCATAAGTATCCACATGACAAAAAGGACTTGTCGCTTGTTGTATCAAAACCGGTTCTTTTATTCTTCTAACTGAGCAGAGAAGACACGACTCAGTGTGGTCAAAACTTTATAATTATTTTAGTCAATCATTACTTTCCGGAAAGGGACTGTGCACAAGGCTAAACCCTCTGCAGATCTGAAGCATTAAGCCGGATGCACATAATATAGTCTGTTAGAGTCGCACATAGTTTCGATCAAAACAACTCTGCAGTGCACTCTGCCTAGTTTCACTTCCTCTCCACATCCTGTACTCTGCAGCTCTGCAAAAGGCGTATTCTGCACAGTTTCCTGTCTTGCATGGTATTTCAGTCTCGCTCACCACCTTGTGACCTTAAATACACTTTATGACTGAAAAGTGGCCTCTTTAATATAGTGGCCTACATAAAACAATATAAACAAAAAAATAAGCACTAAGAATATATATTTATTCTTTAAAAGCTCCCCCTTTTATATCTGAGATATCCCATTAACTTTACTTGCATGTGAAAATAATAGCTAAGAATGTGTCAAGAGAATCCATACTAGACAAAATGAAACCTTCCCATTGCCCAAACATAAATGTCATACATCCCCTCAACGGGTTGTGTATTTTCAATGTTCACGTATTATTGTGGCATAATTACTTCTATCCACAACAAATAAATCAAGCAAATAAGTCAAGCTCTAAGACAGCACCTCGCGTCTACGCCGGGCTGTGAGCTGTCCTAACTCACTCACAGTTTGCACTGTACGTTTCATACAAAGTTTGAATAGCCTCTTCTTTAGTGTGTGTTTTCCACTCACTGGGAATCTCACCATACTCCATGAATTTGAAACCATAGTAGTTTTCCAGTTCTTGCTGAAATCTACACACAAACCATGTCCAATACTTCAGCTTAGACTCATCAGGAGTAATGCTCCAGTTTGCATATTTTGGCCCAGCAGTTCTGTACTTTTTGAAAGGAATGGATATTTCTGAATCATAATTAAGGTAAAAACGTCCATCACTTGCAACTTTTGTTGTGCAGAACTCCACACTCATTATCTCAGTGTTTCTGTAGTGCCAACCTTTGACTGCTTGAGATCGATGAAAGGGGACGCTGTGGTCTTCAGGACTGTGATCTTTAATAGTGTTGGTACAAACAGCTGCACAGAATGGGCAGGTTTCCCAGCAGCAGCTACACAGCTGATCGATGAGGATTTGATCAGGTCTCAGTCTGAATTCCTTCATCTTATCCAAGGAAAGTTGATTCATCTCCTTTTTGATGGACACAAAACCTCTCTCAATCTCATCTTTAAGGAAGTCAAAATTGTTTATGTCCCTAAAGTTTTGGCAACAGATGGCATCAAGAGTCAGTTTATCTTTTAGGAAACTGGAAAACTCCTCTGCCCACATGTCAATGTCTCCTCTCTGAGTTTTGACTTTATTTGTTGCATCAAATAAAGCTTGACAGACAAACTTATACTTGTCCTCCACATTTTTCCCGAGTATATTCAGGGCTTTGTCTTTGTATTCTGTGAACATGTACGTGTTTACTTTCTCTTTGATAAAAGCCTCAGCTTGCATCCTTGGTTTTCGGATGTAGTTGATAAAGGCATCAAAGTCCTCTTTCTCTGCAAGTGACG